CGCCGCGCCGTGCGTATTTATCCCGTTCAAAGCAATCCAGATCGTTCTCGAACACTAACGCGCTGGTCCGGCTGGTCGGTTCTAGCCGATTCTAGCTTGATGGCGTCAGCGGCAGATCGCTCACCGCAACGTTGCCGCTGTTTATGTTTAATATTATGACAATTAGATTTTTTTGTGGAATTTTCGGAAGCTTCTCTGATTTTTGCAGTTTGTATTTTTTGAATTAAAATCGTTGTGAGAGCTACCAGAATTGCCTCCGCGAGCTACCGGTAGCTCGCGATCGACAGGTTGGCGACCACTGTCCTAGGTCATCGTCCATCATGTCCTTTCCAGGAAGGTGGACAGGTCACTTGGAGACATCTCCTTTATATCGGCAGGTGTTAGGTCAAAACTTGCCGAACTCCGGGCACCCGCATAGGAAATGCCTCAGTGTCTCATCTTCCTGTTCACACATCCTTCATAGAGGAGTGTCCACTAGACCCATTTTATGGAGGTGTTTCCTCAGTTGATAGTGGCCAGTCAGAAATCCTCCTGTTAAGCATATATTTTTCCTGGTCATCGCCAGATATTTCTTCGGCAGCAGATTCCCAGGGTCGCCCTGAGTAATCCTGGCAAAATTGCATCCTTTGATTTCATCCTATCTCGTTACGGATTGAGCATGAGTGTAACATTTGGCAACATCCGTAACTGTCGAAGTCATTAGCCACTGAGTCCTAAAATTCTTATTCCAGCCGCTTCCTTGGCTAAAGAGTCGGCAATGCGATTACCTTTACTCCTGTAGTGCCCTTTAACCCACCTCAGGATAATATTATCATCTACCGAGGCTTTGGCTAAATCTTGGTGGGTGAAAGTACTCAATTCATTCGACTGATGATCGACTGCGACCGATCATCGGCCTTTTGAGAAACGGCCCTATAAATCAGGATTCAGACACAAATAAAGGTATGTTTTGAAAACGTACACATAGGGTCTTCCAACAGGGACTTCTGGATTTTGACAATTGATAACGGCCATATTGTTGAAGCTACATATGTCAAAGGAAATGTCATTTATTCAGCCTGATTTGCCAAATCACCATGGACGGATATAGCATTCAACAACAAGTGCAAAATGTGTGTTCTGTTTGGGCAAGGTACCGTGCGCTTCGCCCATTTTATGGTCGCAAAATCATCCTACCGAGAGGAGTACACACAATGTGGTGGATATATTTGAGTCCGTTGTTTCAGTAAACGATCGGCCAACGTCAATGAAATGCAAGATCTGCCGAAAACATCGCCGCTGTCTGTGAGAGTGTGCAGGTTAATCTGAGTCAATCGATTTCGCCTCGCTCACAAGAATTCGGCCTTTCGCAGACCATAACTTGGAGAATTTTGCGTCGTGACATGAGCCTGCACACGTACAAAATTCGACTGATCCGGGAACTGAAGGTAAACGACCATAAACAACGGCGTGTGCTCGCTGAATGAGCTCTGAAGTAGTTGGCAACTGACCCTTTTTTCATCGAAAAATCATCTTCAGCAATGAAGCCCATTTCTGGATGAATGGGTACGTGAACAAACAAAATTGTCAAATTTGGTACGATACCAATCCATATGATATCCAAGAGCGTCCAATGCATTCCAAGAAAGTCACCGTTTGGTGTGGATTTTGGACGTCATCGGTCCATATTTCTTTGAGAACGACGTTGGCAAGGACATCATTATCGACGGCAAGCAATATAGGTCGATTATTACCAACTTCTTTTGGCCTGAATTGGATGATCTGGACACCAACGACATGTGGTTTCAATAGTACGACGCTACGTGCCACACAGCTCATGCCACATTGAATATTCTGCACGAGCGAATTGGGAGCATGGTCACCTCTCGTGTAGGCGATGTGAACCGGACACCAAGATCGTGCGATTAGAACGCGTTAGACTTTTTTTTGTGGGGTTTTCGCAGGTGTATGCGAATAAACCACAAACCACATTGGTTTTCAAAGCTAACATAATCCATGTCATCGGTCACATTTAGCTTTATTGGTGCGCCAGAGTCATGGAAAATAGGACGTTTCGGATGCGGTCCATCCAGAGAAGCCGTGGCGAAAATTCGAACGATGTTATATTCCACACATAATGGCATGAATAGGTCTTTCATACGAATAAAAAGTTTCGATGATATCTCACACACACTTTGTTTTATTTGAATTCAGAGACGGGAAGCGCTTAATGAAAGACCCTTTGTTGTTAATTTATTGAAAAAACTATGCATCGAGATTAGATTCCTATATGTTTTGGACTTATTCGTGAGTGTTCTTTCAAAATCAGCTGTTATTTCTGGATAATTTTTTTTTCGCATTTGCAAAGAATTACCAGAAAAATTCGATGGAACACAAAACGCTAGTAATATTCTATAGATTTAACTTTTTAGGTAATTCCTCGAAATAAAATCAAGAAGCAACAAATGCCATAAGCAAAGAGAACCGTTCTGTTAAAAGTATCACTAAAAGTATCCCAAAAATTGACTGGTCTCTCCAATAAAGTGCTTTCTTTGTTTTTCACGACTTTCAAAAGAGGTGAAAAATCTCCTACCACGTAGTAAGGGTTACATCCATCAATTTATTGAAGGAAGCAAGTACAGCTAGACAAGCCATATACTATTTTAAACTGAAAATGAAGTACCATCAAGCTTCCTTTCTGATGAGAGTTTTGTTGAGTTTTCCATTTCATTCCATTCATCATATTTTTTAAATTTCAATCAAGCTTCCGTTCTGATAAGAGCTCTGTTTAGTTTTCCATTGCATTCCATTTATTATATGGAAAATGTGGAATATTATCGAAATATGTCTATGCCATGGAAAATGAATTCAACGCAAAGCTAATTTGATTTCTACTCAAGGTATGACTCAAACTTGGTATCATAAAATGCAATTACGAAGCAACGAATACCTTTTTATTCAAATATCAATTATTTAAAGTACGATTGACTGAGTAAGATCAATAAAAGTAGGTATTGATTGATACCGTCCCTTCATTTAGTTCTTGAGAAATGTATCGTACTGCAGAGCAATTTGTCAATTTTAAGTACTAACATTATTCATTAATGAATAGAACGACCTTCGTTGGGAATTGTGCTTGTTTCGTTGTTAAACAGAAACTTCAATCGGGAATAAGAGTGGGAGTATGTTTTCATTTAATTTTTTCAAATAAAGATAAATAGGTAGATATTTATTCATTAAAATATAAACATTAATTTTGGATTTTGATGACAATGAATGAATAAATATTAATTGAATCAAGTAATCCTGATTACATAGAATTTATGGCAATAATAGCATTCGAACTGAATAAAGATTTAATGTATTTCATGTTCAAATATGGAAATGAACACCTATTAGTTCGGTTGAAACAAAATTAATAAAGACAATGATAAAAATATAGCTTAATGAAATGAAAATTAACTCAAAACAGCTTCTAGTCATTTTGTTTGATGTTCAATAATTGAATACAGTTCGACGAGAGACCCTTCACAGAGTAACTAAAGAAGGAGGACAGTGATACGAATACGGTCCTAACATTCGAAAGCACATAATGTCTATCTAGACTGTACTAGAAGCAACGATGAATCATTCTTGATGGATTGACGTACACTGCATAGATTATTCAAGATGAGATGGAAGCAGAGAATA